CTTGTGGATTCTTTGGGGTTTTCTGTGTATAAAATCATATCATCTGCAAATAGAGATACTTTGACTTCTTCCCTACCAATTTGGATGCCCTTTATTTCTTTTTCTAGCCTAATTGCTCTGGCTAGGACCTCCAGCACAATGTTGAATAAGAATGGTATTATAAGGGCATCCTTGTCTAGTTTCCATTGTCAAGGGGAATGCTTTCAAACTGTTTCCATTTAGAATGGTGTTGGCTGTTAGCGTTGTATAACCAGGGGACGTTCTTATTTGAGATTAGTTTTGATCCATGTGGTAGGCTGGGAATGGGGGAGTATGGGATTAACAGATTAACAGATGAGGAAAACAAGGCCCAGGAGGCTGAGCAACCAGACCTCTCCATCTCATTTCTACATTGGGGCACCTGAGGTCACAGGCACCACAAGGATAAGGGCAGTTGGGCAGGGGCTGGGGAAGAAGAGAACACCTGAGAATTGAACCTCATCCTCAGTAAGAGGCCTGTGGCCACCTCAGAGACATCTCTGGAGCCCAGCACCCGGCCCCTCCTATCTGAGTCCCTCCAACTGATGCCAGTAGCACTGCTTGAGATGAAGTCCCCACGATCTGGCCCAGGGATGCCAACGCTCCCCCCTACAGTCCCCTCCTGGCCTGCCGTGGGCTCAAGGTGCAGCCTGGAGGGAAGAGGAAGCACCTAGACACCCTAGGTCCAGCAGCCTCTGACAAGCCTTGGTGAGGGCCTGCGCGTCTGCAGAGACGTGTAAGGTATTAGCCCCTCATACTTGGTGTGCCTCGGAGGACACTGGGAATTTCTTTAAGTGGCTTTTTTTTTTTACTTCAGGGAAGCTGGCTGGAAGCCTCAGGGGAGAGGAAATCTGAACAGAAACAAAGCCTCCAGCATCAGAGTCCTGGACTAAGAGCAAAGGCAGTCAGTTCCTGGCTGGGGGTCGAAGGCAGAGCCATGGTTCTGACACACAAGGACCTGAAGTTGGGACTCAGTGGCCCCCTTCTCTCTTTCCAGCTTGTCACGAGTCTAGGGGACCTGGGGTGCAGGGTGTGGCAGCTTTGGGATCAGGACTGGCTGAGGGCCGGGGCTATAAGGAGTTGCAGAAGTGCCTCCTGCCTCCCTCCCAGCACAGTCTACCATGGAGTATAACTTGTTAGGAACTGTCGTTTAAGAGGGGGACCACACAGGGCCTCCATGGTCACTGGGCCCTGAGGTATGGCCAGCATGAATCCAGAGAGGGTCAAACTCATAGGCTTTAGATGAGGTAGAGGGCAAAAGTGAGGAAGGTGGGTGACCTAGGGGTGTGTGGCACCCACCCACCCACACACACAGACTCAGATCCCAGTTTCCCTCCACCAGATGCCTACTCAGGTGGGAGACATCAGGAGGTTCTTCCTCCCCTACCACACCCAAAATGAGAGGGTAGCCATTGGTGTGCTAGAGGCACATTCTGGCAACAAGAGTCCATCATAAGGGATGGCTCACCCTCACTCCACATCTAAGCCAGTATTCCTGTCACTTCATTCTCAAATATGAGATACCTCAACTAGGTGAGGAAAGTCTGCAAAACAAAAGGCCCAGATACTGGGGGAAAAAACGACTCCAAGAACACAGATTGTCATTCAGTAAAGAAAAGAAAACAAAACAAAACCTCCAACTGATATCAGACCAAGAACAAGATGCCAAGGAAAAAGAACAAAAGCCACAACAATGGAAGAAGCTGCTTTTGGAAATTAAACATATAATTTCTGCAAGAAAACATACAAGCACTGGAAGACAAAATTGAGGAAATCTAGTGCACGGAAAGCACAAGGAAACCTAAAACATGAGAGCGAGCAAACAGAAAACAAGAAGGATTAGTCCAGAAGGCCCAACACCTGATCAACTGCAGCATCAGGGAGAACCAAAACAAAAACTGAAACTAAACCTGTTGCTGTCAAGATGATTCTCATAGTGACTCTACATGATGGAGAACTGCACCTATGTGGTTTCCAAGGCTGTAAATCTTTATGGAAGCAGACTGCCACATCTTTCTCACACAGAGCGGCAGGTGGGTTTGAACCACTGACCTTTTGGTTAGCAGCTGAGTGCTTAACCACTGTGCAACCAGGGATCCTATTAGGAAAGAAGAAAAGAAATAGCAGAGGAAACAGAATAGAAAATGCCCTGGACCAAAGGGAAAATGAGTGTTCCAATCAGTGACCCGCCAGAATGCAGAGCTGGTTGAATGAAAAAAATAAAGTCTCAAACTAAGGCAGGTCATTGAGAACTTACAGAGCCCCATGGATAAAGATTTTATCCTTGAGTCCCTCAAACTCAGAAAGATTGTAGAGACAAGCAGGTCCCTAGAGAATTGAGCATCAGGTGTCACTGAACTTCAACAGCACAGTGTTAACACAGCCTCAAGTTCTAAGGGAAACGGTTGCAGCATTTATTCCATGTGTCCATCAGAATACAGATATGCTCAGACACTCAAAGACTCAGTGTTCACTTCCCACACACCAATGTTAGAAAGTGATTTGAAGACACGCTCTAACAAAACAGCATACACCTTTTAGGAGGAAGATCTGAAGTGCACATATTAAGTGGGAGCCACCGATTCCAGACAGGGAACTGTGAGGGGAGGCTGTTCAGTGCACCCAGAGAGAGGAGCACACAGAGGGCTGAGGGGTCATCAGTACAATTCAGAGCTTAGAAGATTGTGAGAATGCGATCAAGACACTCAGTGTAAAAAAAAAAAAGTCAATCAGAAACTCCAGGATGAAAACAAAACTATTTGAAAAAGGTAGTTTTAATGATCACTTGGGTTCCTGGGTGGTGCAAATGGTTAACACGCTCAGCCAATAACTAAAAGTTTGGAGGTTCAAGTACACCCAGAGGTACCTCAGAAGAAAGTCCTGTCAATTTACTTCCAAAACTTCGGCAATTGCAAACTGCATGGAACACAGTTCTAGTGACACACGTGGGGTCATTATGAGTTGAACCGCTCTAACGTACATGTGCACAGCCTTTGCCAGCACCTATGCCTTCACCTCCTCTATACTATGAACTCAGTAGATTGCTGTCCAGTATATTGTGGAAAAAAGTACATTTATGTGAAGAAAACATAATAACCAACATACATTCACGTATGTATTTATGTATTCTGGGGGAGGGATATTTCTGAGAAACACTGAAAGGTTACACAGGACACAAAATGGAAATGGTTAGTAACTGGAGATGATATTAACAGAACACTGGTACTACAGGAGGAAGTCAGCCTTCTGAATACATCTTCTCATATAGTATTCAGTTTTGAACCATGTCAAGGTTTTATATGTTAAAGGAATAATTCAAAATGAAAGCAAACCTTTAAATATAGTAACATATCAAACTGCCACTGCCCATCTGCGACTTTGACATATTGTGGCGGCTGGCATGTTGCTGATACAGGAAGCTATAGTACCAGTATTTCAAATACCAGCAGGGTCACCCATGGTGGACAGGCATTAGTGGAGCTTAGACTTCAACAGCCTAAGAAGAAAGACCTGGTAATCTACGTTAGAAAATCAGTCAATGAAAACCTTATAGATCACAATAGAACACTGATAGAGTGCTGAAAGATGAGTCCCCTGGGTTGGAAGGCACTACTCAAACATACCAATGATTATGAAGATGGTGCAGAACTGGGCAACATTTTGTCCTGTTATGAAGGAGGTCAAGGAGCACTGGAGGCGCAGTATTTAGCACTTGGCTACTAACCAAATGGTTGACAGTTCAAACCCACCCAGCAGCTCCATGGGAGAAAGCCTGGCAACCTGCTTCTGTAAAGATTACAGCCATGAAAACTCTATGGGGTAATTCTACTCTGTCACATGGAGTTGCTAAGAATTGGAATCGACTCCATGGCACACAACATAAATAAGGCCACCATGAGATGGAGTCAACTCAATGGCAGCAAACAATATCAAACTGATCACATAACCATGCACAAGAGAGTTTGTGCTCAAGCCAATGTTTAAGCATGGTAAACGTGTATTAATTTCCTCAATGTAAATGTATAACCAGTAAGTACAAAAACAAAGGAGAAAAAACTTGGTACTTTACAAAATAAGTTTTTTAGTCAGTACTATTAGTGTGACATTGAAACTATTTGAATATTACCAGGAACAAAGGTTTTTATTAAAAGAGATGCAAATATAAAACAAAGTGACAAGATTCGCCCATTTACATTTATCCCATAAATGTTCCTTGTTTCACGCTAATAAATCAGCCTTGAGCAAGTATTTCTGAAAACCATTAGAATTCTTGCTTAAAACCCATCTTCTTGCCGTATTTTTGGTTGCCAACTTCAAATTGTTAAGTTTCCAGTGCCCCATGACACCCAGAACTCATAAAAAAACTTCTTGCTTCACGTTACCCTTTGGAGTTAAACTCAGACTTATGCTGAGATCTCTTTCCTATCGCAACAGGCTGAATAAAGTCCAGTTTTCCTATTTAACATTGTCCAGCACAATTTTGTATATTTAAAATTGTCCGGCACCATTTTTTGTACATATATATATTTACGTATTTATGTAAAAAAATATATATCCTTAAATTTGTATTAGGAATAAGAGTATGAACTTATGATGTAAGAAACTACGTATTTTATATGCTCACTGAAAGGCCGAGACAAAATTGACTCCGTGGTAACAGCTTTTGGTTTATCACCGATGCCATGTATTGCACAGACCTTGGTTTTTTAAAGGAACCAGAGGTTTGGGGAGAAAGGATTGATTCTAGATCTGTAACAGGAAAGTACAAAGAGATCCAGTGACTTCTTTTGCATTAAAACACTAATATGGTTGTATCAACAATCTATGTCGTGGGTGAAACTAAGACACTGAATAAACTTTAATTTTTATTACTTTAAAATATGACAATAAACTTCATTCAATTATTAGAAAAGTATGCTTTGAGTAACCTGGGGTTGGGAATCTAGTGTTTAACAATAAAATGTATGCAACTTGCTTCTGGATTCTGGAAGATGGAATACAAAAAAGGAAATGAAAAATGTCTCATAAACAAACTTATATTGATTACTTTAGCTAATTTCGTTTACAATTTTTACTTTCACAATAAATGGACATATTAGGTTGAATAAGATTTTTCATTAAAAATTTCAAATTTACATTTTCCAATGACTAAAATGACTAAAATGTTTTAAATTACCTCTTTAATGTATATTATATTTCTATTAGAACTGTGTAAGACCCAACGGCTACCTTACAAAAATACAGAGAACTAATTAAACAAGATCATAGTAAAACAAATACAATAAAGCCTGTGAGAGCTGGAACATGATGGGAGTTCCTTCTTTTACCAGGTCTTGATTATTTTCCACCTTTGACTGGGTGATTACCACTTTTCTTTTGCTCTCTTTTAAAAATGCTACATGATAAACACCCAGTGAGTTTGTATTCTCTGACAAGTTTCTGACTTACACAGGTTCCGGCTGCCACAGGTTTGACTATCAGAATGCTGAATACTTTAATATTTTACAAGACAAGCAGGAGAATGTTCTGTGTAAGGCACATTAAACAGATCTAGAAATAAAAAGACAGCGTGGAAATATGGTTTGGATCCTAACTTCAAAAAACCCAACAACCATAATAATTTAAGGACAATTGGAAAACTTTTCGTTTTTTCTAAAGGACAATGAAGATCTGGGTTGTTCTGGTGGGAAACTGACCTTACTTGTACGAGCTTAAATGGTGAAGTGAATCTCTGCAATTAACCATTGGCTGTTTCATCATAATAATTCATATACATGGACAAACTCCTTACATTTATAAAGCCTTTCTAAACCACGAATTTTTATGATTAGTGGGGTTTGAGGAATCCCAACAGAATTTCCCACATTCCATATATTCAAAGTATTTCTATCCATAGTGATTTCTTATGTATTCAGTGAGGAATGAGGAGTAACTAAATGCTTTCCCACATTCCTTACTGAAAGCATCTCTCCACTGTGAATTCTTATATGTGCAGTGAGGTGTTAGGACTGATGAAAGGCTTTGCTGCATTTCTTACATTCATAAGGACTCCCACTACAGTGAGTTTTCATATGTTTAGTGAGGCCTGAGGATTGAAAAAAGGCTTTGCCACATTCCATACATTCATAAGGTCTCTCTCTACAGTGGGTTCTGATATGGGCACTGAGGTCTGAGGACCGACTAAAGGCTTTCCCACATTCCTTACATTCATAAGGCCTCTCTCCACTGTGAGTTCTTACATGTGCAGTGAGGTTTGAGGAGCGACTAAAGGCTTTGCCACATTCCTTACATTCATAAGGCCTCTCACCGCTATGAGTTCTTATATGTGAAGTGAGGTGTGAAGAGTGACAAAAGGCTTTGCCACATTCCATACATTCATAAGGTCTCTCTCCACGGTGAATTCTCATATGTATAGTGAGGGCTGAGGAGTGACGAAAGGCTTTACCACATTCCATACATCTATAAGGTCTGTCTCCACAGTGAGTTCTCATATGTATAGTGAGGTTTGAGGAAACACTAAAGGCTTTGCCACATTCCTTACATTCATAAGGCCTCTCTCCACTGTGAGTTCTTAGATGTTTAGTGAGGTGTGAGGAGTAACTAAAGGCTTTACCACATTCTTTGCATTCATAAGGCCTCTCACCACTGTGAGTTCTTATATGTGAAGTGAGGTGTGAGGACTGACGAAAGGATTTGCCACATTCCATACATTCATAAGGTCTCTCACCACTGTGAGTTCTCATATGTATAGTGAGGTCTGAGGAGTGACGACAGGCTTTGCCGCATTCCATACATACATAAGGTATCTCTCCACAGTGAGTTCTCATATGCGCAGTGAGGTTTGAGGACCAACTAAAGGCTTTTCCACATTCCTTACATTCATAAGGCCTCTCACCACTGTGAGTTCTCATATGTATAGTGAGGTCTGAGGAGTGACAAAAGGCTTTGCCACATTCCATACATTCATAAGGTCTCTCTCTACAGTGAGTTCTCATATGTGCAGTGAGGTTCGAGGACTGACTAAAGGCTTTGCCGCATTCCTTACATTCATAAGGTCTCTCTCCACTATGAATTCTTATATGTCTAGTGAGGTTTGAGGAAAGACTAAAGGCTTTCCCACATTCCTTACATATATAAGGCCTCTCTCCACTGTGAATTCTCATATGTACAGTGAGGTTTGAGGAACGACGAAAGCCTTTGCCGCATTCCTTACATTCATAGGATTTCTCTCCAGTAAGAGTTCTCACAACAGTGCTGAAGTAAGAGGGACAACTGCAGGCTTCTCCACATTCCTTACACTGATAGTCATTGCATGCAGAGTGAGATCTGATATGATGCTTAACTGATGAATGATTCATCAAGGATTTTCCACACTCAAGGCATTCAAAAGGATATGCTTCCACAGGAGTTCTTCTGAGCACAGAAGGATTTGGAATCTGGCTGAAGGTCTGTCCACAATGATTGTCTTCATTATTTTCACAGAGGTTCTCTAACAAATGCCTTCTTTTAAAAATAGACAGCATGCTGTTGGATACAAATTTGTTACCATTTCACTACTATCATACACATTAAACATGTATTTTTTTGCCCTGAATTGTTTCATGTTTCATAGATTAAATCAGACACGCTACCATTATTTTTACTGTGTTTCTAAAGTATGGTGCTCGCTAACAATTATGTTTAAGTGAAATGTTTCAAATATTAAAATCTGGCTCACATTTATGAAAAAATATTGTACTCTGAAAATTCTGTGAACACCCAATATTAGAGCTGGTTTTATATACACATGTAAGATACCTGGATGGCACAAAAGTTTGTACTGCCATATACCTGTGTGACTGTGTGTGTGTATATATAGATATAATTGTTCTTGTTAAGTGCTGTTGATTCCATCTTAGTGACCCCATGTGACCAAAAGACTGGTGGTTCAAATCCACCCAGCGGCACTACCAAGAGTCGGAATAGACAAGACAACAACAGATTTAAGACGCACACACACACACACACGCACAGAGATCCCTACTCCTCACTTATCAACTACCTCATTATCTGCCATTTCACATTTGCGACAATAGAAAATACTATCTATTTTGCATACTATTGAGGAGGGTCTCAGAGTGGCCTCAGAGAACCTGGGCAGAGTGACCACATGCCCTCTGTTCCCTCCTGCTGGCAGAGTTGCGACATCCAGCTGCTTGGCTGGCCAGGCTCCTCTGTGGCCACAGCCTCCAGGTGGACACACAAGCAGTGCTCTGGCAGCAGGTACTGGTTCTGGGTTCCTATCTCCTGTGCGACCTGAGGCCCTGCAACTCAAAATTGCTATGGGGTGGAAAGGTAGGAAAGAAATTGCAATGGAGATGGTGTTTGGAAGAAATGCTTGCAAGTTTAATGACATCCCAAAGTGAGGTGAACAGGGCGTGAAGCCTCCATCTTGGTGGGACTTGTGTAGCCAGGCTCAGAGCTCACAAAAGCCCCGAGCCTTGGTGACTCGGTAGGCCTGGAGAGCAGTGTAGGCTCTGGGATCTGGAATGCAGAGCTTGTAGGGGTGGGACTGGAGCCCTGGAGGCAGCTCCATGAAGGGAGCTCTGACCCAGCACAGGAGAAAGGTGAAGTGGTTAATCCATGGATCCTCCAGGCTCACAGCCCGGGTTTATCCAGCTTTATCTCCTCCAAGCCTCCTCCTTCACAGAAAAATAATTCATAAATGGACTCATCACAGTAATGAGTACATTACTAAACCTTAGCTGTTATTATGTCTATGATCATATTTTCCAAATAAGAAAAAAATTGGAAAAACGGACGGTCTGAAAACAAAAAAAAAATCCTTCATTTTCACATAATGCCGATTTTTGCAAACTATCTGGTCTTTGGAAGATAACCATGTCAAAAAAGTGAGCAGTGGGTGTATGTGTGTGTGTATGCATATACATACATACATGCATTCATACATACATACACACACACATATATATATACATGCATAAAAACCCAGGAACCCTACTGGTGCAGTGGTTAAGCACTTGGCAACTAGCCGAAAGGTTGGCAGGTTGAACCCATCAGCGGCTACGCTGGAAAAAGATGCGGCAGTCTGCTTCCTTAAAGATTACAGACTTGGAAACCCTATGGGCAGTTCTACTCTGTCCTGTATGGTCGCTATGAGTTGGAATACTTGACAACAATGGGTTTCTATACATATATATGTGTGTGTGCATATACCCATATGTACACAAAGGTGTGTGTATATACATACATATACATATGGCTACATATAGCTTTTGTTAAGTGCTGTTGAGTTAATTGCAGTTTACAGTGACCCCATGTGACAAAGGAGAACTGCCCCATAGGGTTTTCTTGGCTGTAATTATTACAGAAGCAGATTGCCAGGTGTTTCCCCCACAGAACCACTGGATAGGTTCAAATTGCCAATCGTTGGTTAGTGATCGAGTCCTTAACCATTTGTCATACCTGGGCTCCTTAGGTATATAAATATTTTAATGTCATTATGCCCTCTTAAGACTCTCTCCTGAAACACTGCTGTCTCTTGCATAAATGACACTCACCTCACATGTGTTTTCTTGTTGTGATCCTGGTCTTCAGTGCCATGCAATTCGCAGGTTTCTCCTACTACTGAGGACCAGGTGTCATTTTTCATGAATCGTACTATTATATTTTCAGTGGATAGCTTGTCTCCATCAATAAGGTTTCGAGAAGCTGACCCAATGATTTAAGGTGAGGTTCAAAACATGAAACAAAATGGAGACAAAATACTCAGAGGGAAAAGGTAGCTGTTAAGCAAAGAAAGCTTCTGATGCATTTTGCTGTTTCCATACTTTGGCAATATTGAGAAAGCAATTTACTAGGAAATACTTCCATGAAGATTTAGAGTGATGCTGACATAAATAGGGTGTAATTAGAAGAGCAAAGTAGAAAGGTATTGAACACAATGCACAGGGAACATTAAAAGAGGAAAAGGGGAGTCTTTCTCCATGAACCAGGTGTGTTAGGACTGATGAAACTCAGAAAAGCAAGCTAAGGTATCTGTGAAGTACATACTCCTCAACCCAAAAGAGACGTTTTCTAATTGATTTTTTTCAAATCTCATTCCCTCTATGCAGGACCAGTCCTTCAAACGATTCTCGCCTCCTGGTGCAACTGACACAGTGGTCCTGGACAAGTGCTATCTGCACTCTCCTCAGGTCTTCCTTTTGCTACTTTGGCAGAACAAATGAGTGTAGCTGACATAGTGATCATGGAGAAAGGCATACCATTAGGGAAGACAGGCAGGAGCAATGAACACTTCCGTGCAACTGAGCCAATACTTTGGTCCTCATGGTTACTGGTGACAGGCAAGTGTGAATTCATTTATAGGAAAATAATGTCAAATTTGTAATAAACAAAGTAAGACTCTTTACATGGTCCCAGACCACAAATATTCTCTCTGGGCACCAAAGAAACCCGTGAAGTCAACACGTTTACGACATTTAAAAAGCCTTAACCCTTTTAACCACAATCAAAATGAGAACTCAGTTTAATACAAACAGCTCCCTGTATTAATGGGAAACCAAGATATACATGCTCCAGAGAGCAAATGAATGTACTTGTCTTATTTAACAATGTTTTCTCATTCTTCAGCCCACATAGTGGAGGAACTTCGATGGGAATGATATATTTGGTCACAAAAAAATTTAAAAATGAAGAGCTATGGCTGCTAATCAAAAGGTCAGGAGTTCAAATCCACCAGGCACTCCTTGGGAACCCTATGAGGCAGTTTTACTCTGTCCTATAGGGTCACTATTAGTTGAAATCAACTAAATAGCAATGGGTTTGGGTTTTGTTTTTAATCCATACCTACTGAAGCCAGGCTTCTGAAGATTTCCATCATCACATCTCTGTAGAGTTGCCTCTGAGAAAAATCCAGCAATGCCCACTCTTCCTGAGTAAAGTCCACAGCCACATCCTCAACAGCCACTGAGTCCTAAAAATTCCAACATATTCTGGTTCAGCAAGGCACCACATACTCCAATGTGTGTGAAAAGAAGGGTGAGGCTGACAGTCCTTGAGGACTGAGATTTCATGGGGATTTGACACAAGTTTTGTGTTCTACTAAGGTCTACTCTAGGGGTTAGCCATCAGCCTCATCCCTTCAGTGTCTACATTTACTTCCTCACAAATTGCATCCTGTCTCATAGACTTAACAATCTCCCAACACAATGAACTTATCTCTCCACAGTCTGACTGTGACCAATTGTAGTCTCATTCCTCTTTACCTTTATGGTTTAAAACAGTCAGAACACATAGCATCAATTGGAGAAATATCTACAGTGAAAGCCCTATTTCCACATTTGGATCATCTCTTCCTTGTAAAAAAAAGTTCATCTCCTCGCACATGACCCAGCAGACTAACAAAACATGAAACACAGGGTGAAAGCAGGATGAAAGGTTAACTGGGAAACACTGCAGGACTAGAAGTTTTTCCTTTTGCCCCTCAACAGCCGTGGGGGGCCCAGTGGCCTGCAGAAAGGGGAAACTCAACTCAAGGCCCTAAGCTTGTATTTTCTTAAAGAATTCCAGGTGATCAGGGGTTGACAAGACCATCTGCTAAAAAGAAAATATCATTTTGAGGAATTACAGATTTTTACATGTTTCTCACCTACTTTTCAAAAACTCTACAAGTGCACTGTCATGCACTCTGTCCCTTCGTGGAGACAGGCAAGGGTATTGCTAAGGTAAACAGAGATCAGCTGAGAAACAGGAAACAACAGAATCTAGATATCATCACAATTTTCAAACTTTTGAGACCCAAAGCTATTATACACCAATTACGAGTGACTTTCTCTTCAACACACACACACCCAGACACCCACACACACAGTTATGACAAGATCCTAACCTTTGAAGCATCAGAATAGCATGCCCTTGTGTTTGCTAACCATGAACAAGAGATTAAGATTCACATTTTCTAATAAGTTCATTGATTCGCAGGGATTTAGCTGTTACACTAATGCATCCTAGGAAACAGAGACTGAAAAACACACCAACCCTGTGGATGCTCCACTCGAAAATTTTCTCATATTTGCAGACCTTGAAAGGCATGCAAGCATGACCACCTGAGGCCTGACCACTGGCATCATCTGGGCTGCAGGACTGGCCTCTGTGAAATAGCATCAACCCTTTAGATCCCACATGTAGTGAGGACACAAAGGCAGCTACACTGCACTTCTGGTGTTACACTTTCACTGAAATAACAGCTGAGCAACTGTAGAACAGATAGGCTACAGGGTGAAGTGAGCTGTCAAGTTCATTCCTAATCAATCTTAGTATGATAGTATCACAGCAATCTTTGATCCAGTGCCACATTCAAAAGTCTCCTCCACTGCAGTGCAGCAGATTACATATTTAAAGCCATCAAAAACCCTAACTTCCATTCCGACAACATATTCATGATAAAATGTTGCATTTGTTAAGCAACTACAGTATTTCAAGGGATTTACAAAAAGCTTTCAGCACACTAGCTCATTATTCCTCATGTCTCTCCTAAGGAGATATTGCTTCAAATGGGTTATAGCAAGGGAAGTTACAATAAATTAATCACTTGCTCAATGTTAACCAAATGGTATGTTGCTCAGCCAGGATCAGAATGCAGCTCAATATGCCAAAGACTAACTTCCTGACAAGTATATTCCTATGCATATACCTACAGTTTTCTGTTACTCTGGCTGTTATTCCTCAATTACATAGATGATCTAGAGCCTGCTGAGTAGTGGGGACAGGAGACAAAGGAAACATCCTATTCAATTCAGACAACCTGTATCTCCTCCTGGCAAAGCCCAGTATCTCAGGCAAGACTACTTCCCTTCAGGCCCTTTGTAATAATGGCATGGCAGAGGCAGCGTCTGACCCCCTGTAACTTCACAAGGGGGAATGACAATCAAGAACAGCCCAAGGCTGATTCCTGTGAGGCAGAGGTCAGATATGCCTCCTCTCTCCACCATCTTTACCAATTCTGATACCAACTGTCCCTCCCAGGGCACTCACTACTTCTCTTCTGAATTTGGTAATTCATTGCAATGGCCACACAAAACTCAGACAATACTCATGATAATGGGGTTTATTAGAGAAGTAACTGGTTACAATTCAGGCTTAGGAAGGCTCAAGATACAGTTCTTCCATCAAGACAGTCTCTTCTCAGCTGTGCCCACCAGCCCGTCTCTCTCTGGCCCCTTGTCCTCTGCCCTGCTCGGGCAAGTGTTACAAAGCTATTTTAGTTCTTCTAGAAAGTGCCCTGAGGGACCGCAGTATGCCAGGAAGCCTCGGCCTGAAGGCGCTCAGCTCTAGCTTTCTGGGCCAACAAATCTAGTTCCACCAAGTGTCCGGAGGCACCCTACTTCGCCTGCAAGCCTCCAGCTTGAAAGCACTCAGCTTTCTCGCTCTGTGGGCTGGAAAGCCCACCATGCCGTCTCCTGTCAGTCTCCTGGTTCTGCTGCCTCTGCCGTTGCCATTCCCCTGCTGCTGCTTCTCGCCATCTTGCCATCTTTGGTGTTACAACTCTCTGTCTCTGAGTCTAGGAGGGTCTCAGCACAGGGATCCCAGGTCCAAAGGACACACTCCACTCCTGCTTCTACTTCTTTGGTGGTGGTTGAAATCCTCTCTTCGCACCGCTGGTATGACTCATTTTCAGCCTAGCAGGATGGCAAAGCTGACCAATCCCCTTGTTTAGTGTTCCATATACCTTATTAGCATGGTCCCACCCAATCATCTGGTTGGAGTTACAAACACTATGGCTAGAAAGGCCATATTAAGTAATTCACTGCATCGCACCCTTACATCTGGCTCTATCATTTATTAAAACCATTTAGGTAATACTGACAAAGAGGCTACTTCACATGGGCAAAGCAGATACAGCACTGAACAAACCAAAAATATCCAGATACACATGGATCGTAACTTTTTTGGGTGTGGTTAGTTAATAAACGAAATAAAATGTCAAGTTCCCTCGGTGGTGCAAATAGTAAGCGTTTGACTGCTAGTCAAAAGGCTGGTGGTTCAAAGCCACTCAGAGGTTCCTTGGAAGATAGGTCTGGCAATCTGCTCTGACAGATCAGAGCCTTGAAAACCAGATGGAGCTCTGCACACATGAGGTGGCTATGAGCAGAACTGACTCCACAGCAACTGATATGGATGGAATCGTGTCTCCAAAAAATGTGTGTCAAATTGGGCCATGATTCCCAGATTCCCAGTACTGTGTGCTTGTCTTCCATTTTGTCATCTGATGAAATTACCTATGTGTTGTAAATCCTAACCCCTAAGATGTTAATGAGATAGGATTAGAGGCAGTTATGTTAATGAGGCAGGACAAAATCTACAGGATTAGGTTGGACCTTGAGTCAATCTCTTCTGAGATATAAAAGAGAAAAGTGAGTGCAGGTGACCTCCTGCCACCAAGCAAGAAGAGCCAGGAGCAGACCACATCCTTTGGACCCGGGGTCCCTGCACTGAGAAGCTCCCAGACAGGGGAAGACTGATGACAAGGACCATCCCACAGAGTCCACAGAGACAGAAAGCTTTCCACTAGAGCTTGTGCCCTCAATTCAGACTTCTAACCTCCTAAACTGTGAAAGAATAAATTTCTGTTTGTTAAGCCATCCACTCGTGGTATTTCTGTTAGAGTAGCACTAGATAACTAAGAGAGCAACCAACAGTATAACGTCACGTGGTGGAAAGTTCTATAAAAAACGCATCATAGTCAGGGGATAAGCAGTAACAGATACATATTTATGTTTAGTGAGTTAGCGCAGAGAAAAGCAAAATAAACATTTTAGGAAACATAACCTAGTGAAATCTGGCTTCGTAAGGAAAAATAAATACATTTTTAATTCTAAAAACTTGAAAGTGCTCCGTGATGATTTTGCAGACACTTATATATATTTCAGATGCTCATCGACTTTAACAACTTCCAATGTAGTGGTACAGCAGTGAAAGAGTGCCACTGAACTTCATGGCTGGGAAAGGGAAGAGACACTGGTTATTCACAAAATGAAAAGGTCACTGGGGCACTGGAAGAATAAAAGCACCATGAATAAATACTATCATGAAAATAAAATAAAACAGACAACAGTAATGATACAAAACACAAACGAAGACTTTCAGGTTTTGGTCAGATAAATAAAGAGCTTGGAAGTCATCACTCTCATCCTCAAGAAAAAAGCTGAACATACTGAATCAAGAGTTTGAGGTCATAGGAAAAGGACTGCCCCCAAAACTGGTGGGACACATAGACAGATACAGAGAATCATTCCAGAGCAGAAGCCCAGGAGCAAAGTGCCTATGTGTCCCTCCAGTTTTGGGGGCAGGCATTTGCCCTGAGACCTCAACAGCTTAATTAATTGAATTCACTGAAAACAATGATCAGAGGTAAGACTTGAAAGATGCGAAGGAATTACCAAAGGGACAGCTGAGAATAGACTGTTCCAGCAGGAGGAAACGCCAGAGCACAGGCCACCAGGTGGGAGTGTGCCTGATATGTTTTAGGGAGACCCAAACCCCAGCATGACCAGAGCAGCATGAGATGCTGGAGAGCAACAGTAGAGGAATTTGGAGAGGTGACTGGAGCCAGTGGGCATATTACGTTCTGGAGAAAGTCCTGACTTCTGAAAAGACTCTGGCTTCTCATCTGAGTGAAATGCAGAGCGACTTTACGCATCTGATCAGAGATGGAAAATGATATGACAGCTCTTAACCTGTGTGTGGGGGCAAATGTAAAAGCTGGGAGATATGTTAGAGGGTTTTGGCCATAATCAGATAAGAAATGATGAAAATGGGCACATACAAAAATTGAACAGCAAAGCACATACGTGCAGAAATCATCAACACTTTTCTAGTAAAAGCAAGTGAAAAATAAGGACATCCATTATTCCATTCCTATTCAATGTTATCGTAGAGGTTGTAGCCAATATATACCCAAAAAAAAAGCTAAAGAAGAATGCTAAAAAGAAAAAACACCCCAATCTATATTTTCACGTTGAATAATTGTATATATAGAACTCCCAAGGATGGGACACATGATTATAGTGCTGAGAGTAGTCAAATTACAAAATAAATATCAAGGAAAGAATAATTTTTAGTATTTCATTTATATACACTAGCAACAAGCAATTGAGAAATTAGTTTTTAGAAGATTCATATATTTTTAGTCAGAATAAAATGTATCAAAAAGGACTACAGTTAATAAGAGATCCTAATGAAAAAATTATGAAACATTATTAAATGGCACACAAATAGAATGAAATACACGGAGAGATAGTACACGCTCTTAGACAACTGTCCTCCACAAAAAGATCATTAGTTCCAATGTACTTCCATAAAATTCAACCAATTTTATTTTCTTGAACTTCACAAAAATTCTATAAAAATGTATATGTAATTGTAAATGTCCACAAATACCCAAAATATTCTAAAGAATAAGGTATAGGCTTGTCCACATATATCATATATATAATTGTCCTCATATATATTTATTTTACAAATGGAGCTATATTTGACAGAATAGCATCATTACAAGAATACATAATAGACCAACAAAAATAAACAGTCCTAAAAAAGGTCCACCAATATCCATAGAAAGCTGACACAACAAGCTCTGCAGGGCAGTGGTAGAAAGCACTCAGAATTTAATATGTGGGGCAGAATCAACTAATTGGAGGCCCTGGGTTGTGTAAACGATTTAGTGCTCAGATATTAAGCAAAAGGCTGAAAGTTGAAGGAAAGATACAGGTGCCTTGGAAGAAAAATCTGGCAGTCTACTTCCCATAAATTACCCACTGAAAATCCTATAGAGTGCAGTACTACTTTGAAATGCATGGTGTCTCCGTAAGTCAGAAATCAAGTAGAAGAAAAATGTTGTTTATCAAATATCTAACTGGAATAGTCTATTGCTACGTACTCTATATGCAAAAATCAATTCCAGGTAGATCAGCTTTAATTATGAGAATGTAAAATGACAACACTTTCAGAAATTATAAGCAAGTGATCTTATGACATCAGAATAGAGAAAAAAATCTTAAATAAGAAGATCAACACATAAGGGAAAAGACTGACAAATTCAACTACATTAAAATTCACAGCAATACATCAAAGTGCAGCAAAAATGAGTGAGAAGATAAGTTACTTACTAGGGGAAATATTTCCAAAGTTTATTAAAAAAAAACCTAACTCGGAACCTGATGCCTTCGAGTTAGTTCCGACTCATAGTGACCCTATACAACAGAGTAGAACTGCCCCATAGAGTTTCCAACGAGCAGCTGGTGGATGCAAACTGCTGACCTTCTGGTTAGCAGCTGAGCTCTTAACCACTGTGTCACCCTAAGAAGTCATAGAGATGTAACAGTGGGAAATATGCACAGCCTTTTCAGTACTGAAGTAATGTAAGGTACTCCAACAATAAAATCAAAGATATCATTTTATACACTGATTATAAAAGTAAAAATTACTTCATTAGATAAAAGAAAAACAAAGAAAAACAAACCATTGCCATCGAGTCAATTCTGACTCATAGCAACCCTATATGACAGAGTAGAACTGCTACATAGTGTTTTCAAGGAGCTGCTGGTAGATTTGAACCACCAAACTGTTGGTTACCAGTAGAGCTCTTAACCACTGTCCACCAGGGTTCCAATAATCAGATGAAAAAAAATAAGACACAGATGCATACTTTGTGGGAGGGAAAATCTGTAAAATACATTGGCTGTTTTAGTAAATTTGAACTTGGCTATGATGTGTAAGTCAGAGATTTCCCCTCACTAGACAATGATTGTGCAAGAGCACTTAAGAGTTTGCAAAGAGAAGGAAGAGAATAAGAGCAGTAATATTCACAAGAGCAAGAGTTACACTTGAACCACACAACTCTTATAAGCTCTACAACGGGTAGGTAAATTCTGACCCATTCATACAATGGTACCCTGCATACAAAGCAAGATGGGTAGACTACACTTACAGACACTGGGATGTATTAAACTCAAAAGCATTCTGAGGAAAACAAGTCACAGACGAACCCAGACACAGGTATAAATTTACAGAAAGCTCAAAAGAACTAAAACTAAACAACATAGACACTATGGATTAAGACTTGGGTGTCACATTTAACCATACGTGTTAGATGTAACCAAACACCCCAAGGGATTGGTTTCCTGGGCTTAAAGGATTAGGACGATACTGTTGTGGGACATCTCCATCAACTGGCATAATATATTTCATAAAGTTTACGTTCTCTATTCTAGTTTGGTGAGAAGTGACTGGAGTCTGAAAAGCTTGTGAGCCGCCATCTAAGACACAACTACTGTTCTCTACTCCTCTGCAGCAAAAGAGAGAGAAGGAAACCAAAGACTCAAAGAAGAAATCAGTCCACAGGACAGTCTACATGAACTACAGCCTCATTTACCCTGAGACCAGAACTAGATGAGATAGTACTAGCTACCACTACCTACCATTCTGATCAGGGTTACAAATAGACCCTGATAGAATGGGAGAAAAATGGGGGACAGAATTTCAAATTCCTAAAAAACAAAAAACTAAACAACAACAAAAATAAAACAGACTTACTGGAGGATTCCCCAAGAATGTTGCCCTGAGATAGTCTTGAACCGAAACAAGCCTGAGGTCAACTTTTAGCTACATAATATATTGGCTCACAAAATAAAGAGTATCACCTGTGAGCACTGTGCTCCTTTAAAAAAATCAGCTATATGAGACCAAACGGTCAACAATTATTTGAAAGCAAAGATAAGAACATAAGGGAGCAGGGAAATTAGACTGATGGAAAGGGAACAACCAGAACAGAAATATTGAGAATGTTCACAAATTGTGAAGAATGTAACCAATGTCACTGAACAATTTGCATAGAAACTGTTGAATGGGAACCTAAACCTAAAAAAAGACTTGGGCATCAAAGCTATAATAACAGAAATAATAATTGTAATAATAATAAACTGCTCAAATGCAGATAGCAATCATCTCCAAGCAGCAGGTAGATGACATCAGGGTGGGACACACTGGGAGGCCATAAAAACTGAGAGGTCTATTTATTATCAGGAATTTAGATTCCTGTTAAACTACACAACGAACAGCTTATGCACTCCTAGTTTATGATACAGTTGACAATAAAAGCTTAAAGCAATGGCTTAAAACAGGAAAATATAATTTTCATATAATAATTTTAAAAACTCATGTGAAAACTCCTTCATTTTGATTTAACTTGTCTTAGTTCAGAAGGGCTTTTATGTCTCAATGTTTTATACCTGGATGTTAGAAATTTACATTTATATTCACTAGAGCAAGCTCTGTAAAATACTGGACACAATCAAGTGTCCATTTGTGGCGGTATGGTCAAAACAATAAACAAGATCATCCATTACAGTATTATGGAGTTATACAAGAAATTAAATTTAAGCTTTGTATCTATTGTTATAATAACTTGTTAATTAAATACCAAGTGTAAATTCCAGAACTACCTTTTGCGTAACAAAGTAGGAGAAATAATGTGTTTTACTTTTGAGTTTTTACTCTTACATAACTTAAAATAGGCATTTCTCAGTGTTTGAGAAGTTTATTAAATTGAAAAATTCTCTGCAGAAACATAAACTGATCTAGAAATTTTCTTCCGATGGAAACTGTAAACCCAAGAAGTTAATACACCATCTCCTATGTTGACCTTGTCTACCAAAAAAGAACACTTTCATTTTAGATTTCCCATTTGAGACTGTGGAAACCCCGGTGGCAGAGTGGCTGCTAACCAAAAGGCTGGCAGTCCACATCCACCAGGCGCTCCCTGGAAACCATATGGGGCAGTTCTACTCGGTCCTGTAGGGTCACTATAAGCTGGAATCAACGGCAAAAGGTTTGGTTTTGGTTATCCGAGACTGTGGAGAGCAAGGAAAAAACGGACTCACTACCAGCTCTAGGCAGAGACGGGTGGGAGGACAAAGACTTAGACTGGGGCAACATGCGTCCCAAACACCAGAAAGCCTCAAAGAAAGAGCATCCCTCCAAAAAGGATGGATCTGAAGACCCCACACATGATCCAGCTGTACTCACTGTCCTTTGACTCATTTCACTGGTGAGTTCATGAGAGGACCAAGCCCTACCAAGGACCCAATTAACAGTCAGGGCCTTTCGCTACCCATTCTCTACCCAGTTTTCCACCACATCGCAGTGTGAGAGGTGGAGCTACAGTTATAGAACTGCACAGAAAAGGCACCAGCACCTCAGGGAAGCCACGAAAACTGTGTGCAGAGGGACAAGGATGGCTCTGGAGGATCTGGGGCTCGGTCTCCTCAGCCAGAGCTGCTCCGTCTTCAGACTCTGGTCAGGAGGTTCTGTCATTCAACACAGAGAACCAAGGCCCAGAACTGGGTTGTTAACGCCCCATGATGCGTCAGAGTCACAGAAAGAAGGTGGCCCCAGGCATCCAAGGCTTCAAAATCCACGTGTGTAGAGGAAGGACCCAGTGACAGTGGAGCAGGGCAAGCAGGATGCCTCTTAGGTCTGAGTTCCGCGGTCTCCTTTGCCACCTATTTACCTCACTGAGGAACCTCAAGGCCTGGAGCACACACTACCCCAATAATTCATAACAGCCTCACCCCCTAGAGTTACAGTACCCCAGTTCTCTGTAATACGCACCATTTCCTGGCTTCAGCTTCTGAAAGTCTAAGTGAATGTGCTCTCTAAGCCCAGGAAGCCACTTCAAGTAGAGGAACGGCAGGGGAAGCAGAGCCACTAGGCAGCCTGGAGGCAGATGAATGATGTTTGGTCCACACACCAGTCAGAGCAGCTAAAATCCTGACTTGTGATTACAGGGATGTGCAAGGTTGCCCTTGGCCCACAGCTGCCTAGGATGGACTAACTCTCCCTCTGCCACACCTGGGAACTGAAATGGAAAAAGGAGACAGTGGTGAGTAAGGAGGAAGTAACAGGTTCTTGGTCTTCAGCTCTCTCCCTGGACAGGACTTCCCCCCAGGCTCAAGGCCATGCTCCACTCTGAGGGCCTTTTTACTTAAGGCAGATCCCGCCCCAGCCTTCCAGAGCACACACTTGCATTCTTCATGCAGCTCCACAGGCCTCTTCCTCTGGCCACAGTGTCACAGAAGGAGGGGCTTCTCATCCCAGAGCACAAGAGGCATCCAGGCCTGCCCACAGAATACGTGAACCTGGCTTCCTCCATGGCGTTAGGAGTCCAAAGCTTATGCTGAGGGTTCACCTATGAAGTTAAGGGTTTACCTTTGCAGAACAACCCACACACTCTTATATCAACCCTAGTGAATTTTTAGAATATAGTTTTTAAGTTCAACTCAAGGAATCATCATGCATCACCGACCTGTAACTATGTGCAGCTGAAACTCTTCTGTTGTGCTTTGCTTTTTTAAAACTTTGATTTCGTTTATACCATTGTAAAATGTGATCAGTATTTTTCCTGTTCATTCTGCAACTAGCATTTATTTCTTCCCCCTGAATTTTTAAATTTTTTGCCCTTCACTCGATCCATGACACCATCCTTCTTTCCAGAAATCTGGAAACATTCTTTCAACCTGACAATAATCGATCAAACAATAAGTCAGAAAATCATTCACTTTTCTCTAAGGAGCGGCCCCCACGTCTGTTCCCGTTTCTTTCCTCCCCTCCACCCCACCCAGCCGACACCTACTGTTTTATTTCTTGGTCTCTGTGTAAATGTTTTCTCTCTCTCTTCTCTCTCGCATGATCTGTACACCAGTGGCTGCTCTTTAAGCATTACCCATCCTATTATTAATTTCTCTAACAGCATTCTCTGGTTTTAACTCACATTCTATTTCGATAGTAGTTATTTTCAGCATAAACTTGGAGCTTGTTTGATATAGAGAATCTCAAGCCCAACCAAGATAAAAATCCACATTTTCACAAGACCCCTGGGGTATCCACATCCAAACATTCACTGCTCTGGAGCTTGTAACTGAAGCAAGGAACATTCTATCATGGATGCCCTGTACCAGCCTGCCCACCAGCCCTGTCCACAGCCCCCCACCCCTCGGCTGGCTTCAGTGGTCCAGCCAGGCTCTGCTCGCCTCTCCTAGCCTCCAGCCTGAGCGAGGCTTATCATCTAAGGTAGGTGCCAACCCAGGGACTCCAGAAAACCAAAACAAGTATGACTTTTATCATTTTGCCTCCTCCTATAACAAGAAGCCCAGAGGTTACAGCGCCGTATGTGACAGGTGCTCTGTGAAGTAATCAGTGGCCCAGGCTCCTCCTTCCTGCCTACTCTGCCTCCATCACCACACCCCCGCATTCTCGCTGTGGCAGGTGGCTGCTGTAGGACAAAGAGGAAGACTGAAGGATGAAGGCAAAGCCTATTTTCTCCTTCTTAGGTTTGCACTGTTTACATGGGAAAGGATGAGACCCAGTGACTTTGTCTATGTTATCACTAAGTTGTGGGTCAAACAGTTAACCTTATTTAATGGAGCAGCCCTGATGGCGCAATGGTTAAAGTGCTCGGCTGCTAATCAAAGTCAGTGGTTCCTACCCACCAGCCACTCTGTGGGAGAAAGACGTGGCAGTGTGCTTACATAAAGATTTATACCTTGGAAACCTATGGGGCAGTTCTACTCTGTCATATAGGGTCACTATGAGTTGGAATCAACACCATGGCAGTGGGAGTATGATGGAAAATGGGGACAGTAACTGTTCAGAGGTAGAATTCGTGTCCCTCACGCGGAATACCTGGCTTCAATTCTAGACCAATACACCTCATGCACAGCCACCACCTGTCTGTCAGTGGGGACTTGCATGTTCCTGTGATGCTGAACAGGTTTCAGGGGAGCCTCCAGTCTAAGACAAACTAGGAAGAAAGGCTTGGCGATTTCCTTCCAAATTTTTAAAAAATAGTCAAGGGACTTAAATAGACATTTCTCCAAAGAAGATAACCAAATGCCCAATAAGCATATGAAAAGATGCTCAGGGTCATCTAGGCACTATGGAAATGAAATCAAAACCACATGAGATACCACTTCACACCCACTAGGATGGCTACATCAGAAACTGGAAAAGAACAAGTGTTGGTGAGGATGTAGAGAAACTGGAACACTCACGCACTGTGGGTGAGAATATAAAATAGAACAACCACTGTGGAAAACAGTTTGGCAGCTCCTCAAAAAGTGAATTACCATATGACCCAGACATTCCACTCCTAAACTGGCAGTCTGAACCCAAAGGATGTGAAAGCAAGGATTCAAAAAGATATTTGTATACCAATGTTCACTGCAACATTGTTCTTAACAGCCAAAAGGTGGTAACAACTCAAGTGTTCATCAACTGATGAATGGATTACAAAAAAACACACACACATAACATGAAAGAGAAATTTTGTTCATGCTTCAGCATGGATGAACCCTGGAAACATTATGCTAAGTGAAATCAGTGAGACATAACAGGACAAATACTAAATGATATAACATACATGAAGTAAGTAGAAGAGGGAAAAGCAGGGACCAAACTCTGTTAGTGGCTACCAGGGACTCAGGGAGGAAGGAATTGGGAGTTATAGTTTAAGCGGTGCTGAGTTTCTGTTTCGAGTGATGAAAAACTTTTGGAATCAGATGGTGGAAATGGTTGCACAATGCTGTTAATGTATTTAATGTCACTGAACTGTACACTTAAAAATGGTGAAAATGGCAAAATTATCTATATTTTACCACAATATTTTTGTTTTTTGTTCTTTTTTTTTAAAAGAGCCACTGACCTGTTCCTTCTAAATGCTTAGGGATCATTTGAAAGGTGCAGACCTCTAAACACTCTTCTATGAGCTACTAAATCAAAAGCACAGGTGAGTAAACAGGACACTGGATGTCTGAAATGCTGGCCACAGGTTTTACGCACACTCAAGTTCTGGAACCACCATCAACTCAGGGCAGGTCATTTGAAGAAAGGGGAAGGTCAAACTCCAGATGCCACACTATGAAGCTCTTCAGTTCTGGATCAACAAAGCCTCAATGATTCCCATAAAGAAGGGAAGGGAAACTGAGTCTAGAAAGGCAGGGGCTCTCAAGAGACTCACCATGGAAAATGCAAAGCCATCCCAGGGCAGGTCCTGACTTCTACCTCACCCAGGCAGACCAGGTTCCTGTAGCTCATCAACATTATGCCCCTTTACAAAGCCCTCTGAGCAGCACACAAGCACACACACTCCTTCTGGGGACAAATCCTGGTATATCAATGGTAGCTAACATGAAATACACATTTCTCCAAGGGTCCACAGTGGGGTGGTGGCGGGGGGGAGGGTTGTTCTTATTTTCACACAATATGAGCGGAGGCAAGAGTCATATGAATCAGTTTTGACTGAGGTAAGGCTATGGCTGGGTCCATATAGGATAATTTTCACCAAGTTATGCATCCCTAATGTTAGTCTATGATTAAAGCATAGGGACCAAAGTTTATCAGCTGCTACCAGAGACTCAGGGAAGGAAAGAATGCGGAGTTATTGCTTAAGGGGTACTGAGGATATGAGATTCACTGTGCATGTTACGTTTGTGTGGGTGACAAAGGAAATATACAAACGAAAAAACAATTCAACAAGTGGTTTTCTTTAACCAAGTGATAGATACTATGTTCTATCAACAAAGTTACGTATAGTTTCTCTGATAAACCAGAGCAAAATTCATCCCATTACAGATCAAAGAGTCAATAAGAGGCTTTAAAGAAAGGTTAGGATCTAACCTTCTGATCATAACAGAAAAGATCTGTTCTAACTGGAGAGAGGAACAAAACTATGTCACAGACTCTAACTTGCCTTGGGTCAAACATCTTAATAAATGGCAGAATGCAGGTGGTTGGCTTCTAGAACTGAACCCAAGGAATCAAAAAGGCAAGTAAAACAGACAGCACTGACAGGACATTGGCAGAGGGTTTCCTAACTGAGAAAACTTGAAACAAGTTAAAAACCAACAACAAAGAATTAGTTTAAAGGTCATTATATAGGCACGCACATATGCATATACATAATTAGTTACTACGTTTACACTATTAAAATCATGTTGTTGTCATTAGGTGCAGTCAAGTAGATTCTGACTCCTAGCAACCCCATATGACAGAGTAGAACTGCCCCATAAGGTTTTCTAGGCTGTAATCTTTAGGGAAGCAGATTGCCAGGTCTTTCTCCCACAGAGCAGCTAGGTGGGTTAAATCACCAACCTTTTGGTTAGCAGCTGAGTTCTTAACCATCCCACCACCAGGGTTCCTTATTAACATGATAGTGTAAAAATGTTTAAGGCTCTGGGAATAATATGTAAAACTAATTCATGAAATGATCAAATGTCTTTTACAGAAACCTAAGGTACACACCTACCAACAGTATAGTTAACCAGATTGAGAGCAGCTGTCTTTAAACCATGGATTTCCTGGCCAGATTCTCACTATCATTTTCTCTTCATGTTTTTCAGTATTTTAGTGCGATGGACGTATTTCAATTCTACCGCTGTAGTAAAGAATTAGATCTCACCTAAAGAGAGCTCTATGGCAGCTGGGTAGCACAAACAGTTAAATGCTCAACTACTAGCCAAAAGGTTGTTGTTCAAACCCACCCAGAGGCTTCACAGAAGACAGGCCTGCTGATCTGCTTACGAAAGGTCACAGCCTTGAAAATCCTATGGAGCAGTTCTCCTCTGCACACATGGGGTCACCATGAGGCAGAATGGACTCAATGGCAACTAACAACAATCCCAAAGAGAGTCCTGGCCTTTGTCCTGGCTCCTGGGAGGTAACCTCTAAAGCACTGGAATTTCCAGAGTGATAGCACTGCCTCTGTGATTCGTGCTGGGCCCCTTGGTCCTCACGTGACAGTTTATACTAAAGAGGTGACACAGAGTGGAAGCTGGTCATGCCAGAAAGACCCACCATGGGATTAGAGAGCTGGGGCTTGTGTTAATATGAGACAAATATGAAGAGGTAAATGAGAGCCTACTTCAGGAGAAAACACACAGCCACCCAGAGGGGGTCACCTGGAGGGACCACCTGTGTAGAAATTAGGTGGGGGTTTCTTTTGTTACACAAAGCTGCAGTTTAACTGTTTGTCATTCACAGGGCCTAAAGGTTAAGCATGACTGAAGGCCAAACACAGACTCACAGGAATCCAGAAAAAGGGGAGAATCACAGACAGCATGAATAGACCTGGGCCAGCCTTTAATAGGGTACAAGGGGAGGAGCACACTTTATTTCCTGAGCTTAGCAACTATTGGCTAATTTAAAAGCATACTGGTTAAGAGTTCAGCTACTAACCGAAAGGTCACCAGTATGAATCTACCCTACGGGGCAGTTCTACTCTGTAACACATACGGTTGCCATAAGACGGAATTAACTTGATGACAACTAACAAAAGGGAAAATTAAACATGAGGAAAGGATATTCAGGTCTATGTATGCACATAAAAATGTATGTTGGAAACGTGACTAAATAGAAACATTCAAATTCAAAGAAAAACTGATTAATCATGACGCTTGAAGGGAAAAATTAAAAACAATTCCCACTGAAATCACCATGTCTATAATGCAATAAAATGTAAGCATACTGAGGAGTTAGTATATGTAAATTAGTGAATAAGCAGCCCTGGTGGTGCAATAAGGAGCCCCGGTGGCACAGGGTGAAACCCTCAGCTGCTAAAGGAAAGGTTGGCGGTTCAAACCCAAGACCTGCTGATCTTCTCCCATAAAGATTACAGCCTGGAAAACCCTATGCGGCAGTTCACATGGTATCACATGGTATCACTACCAGTCAGAATCAACCGCAGGGCACATAACAACAACAAATTAGTGAATACAAATTAAACTTTTATCAAAGACACTTGGATACACTGATTGAACATTCATCAAACATGATCATGTATTGAGTCATAAAGAAAATGTCAGCTAATTCCAAATTAAGATGGTATCTTACTGTATATAAAATTTATACTACTGGATATTGTGTTGTCTTCAATTAGAAATAAAGCTATGAAACAAGCTCAAAAAAAAAAGCGGGGGGGGGGATATTAGATAGGCCACAGTTCTTGCACAGTGAAATCAAAATGAAAGTAAACAAAAATCAGATAATGGAAGCAAAACTAAACAAATCGAAAAGCAAAAGATAGTTTCTGTACTTAGAATCTGATTACAGGAAAAGTTTTTATAACCTATGCGACAACTGGTAAACAACCAATTTAGAGTCACTGTCACCATGAAGAATCAAAGTACTCAAAACCAGGGAATGTGGTCAAAGCAGTGATCTTGAAATAAACGTATCTTTACAAAGATAATATTAAAAAACGAAGAAAGAAAAAACCCATTTCCCTACGTTAACTGGATTGCTGACAACTCCACGTGTCACAGCACAGAACTGCTCTATCATAGGGTTTTCTTAGCTATAATCTTCACAAAAGCATAGGCTTCTCTTCCCCAGTGCTACTGGGTGGATTTAAACCATCTTTTTCTAGGTGAGTAAAAAACAAAACAACCATTGCCATCAAGGCATTTCCGACTCACAGCGACTCTATAGGACCCAGCAGAACTGCCCCATAGGGTTTCCAAAGACCGTCTGGTGGACTCGAGCTGCAGACATTTCGGTTAGCAGCCACAGCTCTTAACCACTATAGGTTAGAACACCTGCGCACACCGTTTGGGCCACCCACGAACCTTCAAAAAAAAACGGGAGTTGGGATAAACTGGTTATTTGAATCTGTAAACCTACAGAGGGAAAAAGGAAACCCAAGAATCGGAGTAAAAATTAAGTAAATATCAACAGAACATTAAAGAAATGATAAGCTTCAGGAATGAAAGGAAGAAACAGATTATTTGACTTAAAATGACAAAGAAACTTTCTGACTCGCGTCCTGGGGCCGTGGGGCGCGGCCGGCGCCGCCCTGCGAGCCCAGGGGACGCGGCGGGGACGCAGACGACAAGCCCCCGCGGGGCCTTTCGGGGCGCGAGGTGGGGAGGGGTCGGTGGGGGGCTCCGACAGCAACGGGGGCGCGCGGGTCCCCGGGCCGGAGGCGGGAAGGCCGGACGGACCCGCTCGGAGCTGCTTTCACCGGAAACGGACGCGGATCCTGGACGATGGCGGGGCGGGTGCTGAGACTTGAACGTCCGCAGGGGCTCTCGCACCCCGAGCGGGGAGAAAGCGGCGGTGAAGAGGACGCGAAGCCCGGGTGTTAACTAGAGAGACGACATCCACTCACCCTCTAGAGATCGTCGCTCTCAGCCAGCCTCTCGGTGTCGACAGGAAATGGTGCGGAGAGCGGGGCTGTGCAGGCAGCTGAGCCACGCTGGACAGGGGGCGGGGCGGGACTGCGCGCTGGCGCGGTCTGGCTGTGCAGGGGGCGGGGCTGTCCTGTGCAGGGGGCGGGGCGGGACTGCGCGCTGGCGCGGTCTGGCTATGCAGGGGGCGGGGCTGCCCTGTTCCGGGGGCGGGGCGGGGTCTAGGACGGTAAGGAGAGGGGTGGGGCGGGGTTTTGTCTGGCGAGGGTGGGGCAAGGAGTAGGGCAGGCTTCGTAGGAGCTTCCCTCCCGCCACGCCCACGTCTGGGCTCTCAGTTTCTGTCTTTCCAACGGAACTCGATTCTCCTCTTTTTGAACCAGTGCTGCTTTTGTTTAACGTTTCAAATAATTTAACTAAAAGAGCAGAGTGTGTGGGTCACATATATTGGAAGCTGACGTGTTTTCCTCCTACCATGAGGTGGTTGTTTTCGGGTGTCCTGGAGTCTATTCTCTCAGTGAACCTATACGACATTTAAAAAAAAAAAAAAAAAACCAGACCCGATGCAATTGAGTTGATTCTGACTCATAGTGACCCTATAGGACAGTCTAGAACGACCCCATAGGGTTTCCAAGGAGCGGCTGGTGAGTTCAAACTGGCAACCGAGCTGGTCACGTTTCCTAGACTGTAAGCAAAGATGTCACTTTGCAGACTAAACTGCACCTGACGAAAGCCATGGTATTTTCGATCGCCTCATAAGAATGTGAAAGCTGGAAAATGAATAAGGAAGACCAAAGAATTGATGCTTTTGAGTTAATGGTGTTGGTGAAGAATATTAAACATATCATGGATTGCCAGAAGAACAAACAAATCTGTCTTGGTAGAAGCACAGCCAGAATGCTCTTTAGAAGCTAAGTTGGCGAGACTTGCTCTCACGTACTTTGGACATGTTATCACGAGGGACCAGTTCCTGGAGAAGGATATCTTGCTTTGTCAAGTACAAGCTCAGCAAAAAAGAGGAAGACCCTCAATGAGGTGGACTGACGCAGTGGATGCAACAATGGACTCAAACATAGCAACTATTATGAGGATGGCACAGGACCGGGCACTGTTTTGTTCTGTTATACGTGAGGTCACTATGAGTTGGAACCGACTCGATGGAACCAAACAACAACAATAATCTTTAAGGGAGCAGATTGCCAGGTCTTCTCCCTACACCAGCTTCTGGATGGGTTTGATCCACCAGCCTTTCAGTTAGCAGCCGAACGTTTAACCAGGAGACACCAGGGCTCCTTAAACAACGTTTACTGTGGCCTTCATCCCATCTATTAGGCTTGCTGCCCCCTTGGGATCAGGGTACTGTGGGTTTGCATTCTTTAATACCATCTATGATTGTTCAGGAGCCCTGGTGGCACAGTGGTTAAGCGCTCAGCTGCTAACCAAAAGGTCAGCAGTTTGAATCCACCAGCCTCTCCTTGGAAACCCTATGCAGCAGTTCTACTCTGTCCTATAGCTTCGCTCTGAGTTAGAATTGGAAACCCTGGTGGCATAGTGGTTAAAAGCTGTGGGTGCTAACCAAAAGGTCAGCAGTTTGAATCCACCAGCTGCTTCTTGGAAACTCTACGGGGCATTTCTACCCTGTATTATAGGGTTGCTATGAGTCAGCAACAGGTTTGAATTTTTTCTTTTTCTTTTTCTTTTTTTTTTGAGTCGGAATCGACTCAACAACAATGGGTTTGAATTTTCATTTTTTTATGATTGTTCAGGAGTGAGCTATGGGTCCTGTGTCAACTAAAACATTCTCCTCCATTTTCACTATACAGGTGCTCCACGACTTAAAACAAGGTTATGTTCCGATGACTCCATCATATGTCAGTTCTGACCTAAGTGGAATACCATTTTTTTTTTTTTTTTCAGTTTTCGTTAGTATTGCCTTTTATTATCAGTGTCTGTATAATACGATCTTGATTTGTCAGCGTAAGTGTCGGAACAATGAAGTCAGACTCCTAATGACTGTCTAGTGTAGCTCAGTAGAGTTGAACATTGCCCAACATTCTATCTGTTACGACTCCCTGCACCCACACCAACACAGATATCATTGTAGACCAGGCCACAGTCTGCTATACAGCAGTGTTTTGATCAGTAAATCATAACGTTGAGCATCTGCAAGTGAACACCTGAGAATAATAACAGCACATTACATGCTACAACACTGTATGTTGTACATATTACTAACAATAAGATGTTAAAAAAAAAAAAAAGGACAGTGTTAAGTGTGGTTCATCATCACTAGAATCCTAAGTCAGGGACCACCTGAATTCTAAACCAGTGGGACTGATCCTAAGGTAGCCACTCTCACAACCTATTTTAATGTGGTTCCTCAAGAAGCTAGTGGTAGGAATTCACAAAATAAGATTTGGGACTATCACCCCAGGCAATAGGAAGTCAGGTTTCTCATCATCGTATTTGTCCTACACCTTTCTGAATCCCTCCACACTAAGGAGAATAAAGTAGATTTGTTTAGGGTCCTTCATTGCTGAGTAACAACTACCCAACTTGTGAGGGTGCTGCACGGAGAAAAACTTGTTTGACCCCATCGATACTCATTTTATTCCTCCCATTTCTTAATAACTGGTTAAAGATCTCCACCCCGCTGAGATGAATTCCTGTCTCTTCCCTTTCTCTTTCCCCTTGTTTTGCCCATTCTCTTATGAATCATTCCAACCTCCTGTCTTATCTATTGTTTCAGTATTTGGAAGTAGCTCTGAGACTAGTGGTTGTAGCTCAGGTTGAACATAATCTAAGCTTGCCCCAGGGTCAGAATCTGCCCCAGCACATTCCTTCGTAGGGACCCAGAGATAGAGGGTAGGATCAATCAGAATTCAAGCTTGACCCAGAATCAGGGTTCACCTCAAAACTTTTGTTTACTTTCATTAAAATTTACCCATTGGTAGGGGCCCTCAGGTTAGAGGCTGTAGCTCAGATCAGCCTGATCCAAGCTTGGCTGAGCATCAGGGTCAAGATCATTGGCAAGACCAAACAGAACTCCTCCTGCCTTTGGAAACTCTCCCATGAAGTGAGAATAGTGAAGACTGAATCATGCTAACATAGTTATTTGAAGAGATCAAGAATGAGAGACTCTACTTTTTATGAAGTACACTAATGGAGGAGTGTGATTCATTACCTAATGGCTCATGGAAATGTGAAAGAAAAAGTGACCCAAGTAAATTCTGCCAGTGTCTGCTGTGCAGTACGGTCACCAGAAGTTTAGTGAGCATAGAGATAAAAGCAGAAAACCTGCTCTTGGATGCTGTTATGACATCAAGATTGCAGATGTTGTTTTCAGCAAGGAATTCACCTTTGACAAAAAGCTGGATACCTTTTCTAGCAGTCTGCATTATTCTGCCCCAGAACTCTTCCAGGGCTAAAAGTACAATGAAACCACAGTGGATATGTGGAGCATGGGAGTCATTGTATATACATGTGTCAGCAGATGCCTGTCTTTTGATGGACGGAACTTCAAGTAGCTGCAGGAACAGATGCTGAATGGGAAATATCATATTCCCTTCTATACGTTCATGGAGTGTGAAAATCTGCTGAAGAAATGTCTCATCCTCAATCCCAATAAGAGATGTACTTCAAAGCAAATCATGAAAGCTCCATGGATGAATGTGGGCCATAAAGATTATGAACTAAAGCCTTACATGGAGCTACTCACTGACTGCAAAGACCCTGGCAACCTGAGTCGATGGTGTCCATGTGTTACACATGGAAGAGATCTGGGCCTCACTGATGGACCAGGGCTTAAACTGCTAGCTCCTTGTCTCGCCTAGAGGAGGAGAAGACCAGCCTTGGGCCCAGCAAGAGTTCTCAACCAGCACAAATCAAGGCAAGAATGTCCTTATTTGGAGGCCAGCTTTGGCCAGACCTCCATCTAGAATAGCAAATACAACCTAACTATGAGACAGTCCAGGACCTCCAGGGCTTCTCTGCCTCAGACTCCCCAGCCCTGCTTTTCCTGCACCAGGAATCCAATTTGGCCCCAGTGCTGCCCATCAAGGCATCTAGGTTGTGCCCTACAAACAGTATCTATAAGATGCAGCATCCCAGAAGCCCAGAAGTCCAGCATGTCTCTCTGGCTTTCTCCTCAGCCCACCACATCACTGCAGTGGTGGAGGGAGCCCCAGGCAGAACCCAGTTTCCAATAGAAACTGCATGCATGCTTGGCACCTTGACAGGTGTGTGACCAGCAGAACATTCCCTATGGTATGACCCCAGCCTCTTCCTCTGGAATGACCCAGGATCTGCAGGGGGCCACTGGAAGGTTCTTCAAGATTATAAGAAGAAATCTGTCTTCAGCTGTGCCAGAAGGAACCTGAATGAACTTGAATGTAAGGACTGATGCTGAAACCTCCAGAGGCCAGGCCGTGTTCCCTAGACTTCACCTGAGGATGAAGATCAGATCCCAGTCCCCGCTGCTACACATGGCTGGCAAGTGGGGCCAAGAGGATGTCATATAGTGGAGGGCTGAGACGTGCAAACTCCCTGGGTTGTCTCTCAGTGGGGTTCAACCGAAGAAGATACCTGGCACTTCCATGGCCTTCAACATCATTACCTCCGAAACAACCAAGGAACTTAACCTTTAAAGGCTACCAGAAGTCACATTGGAGAATACAACAGAGGCCAGTTGGCTTTTGCTGCCAACCAAGCGCTTTGCCTCCACCTGGACAAAACTGCTCAGACTGGATAGGTGTGTTTCCTCTGGGGAACTTCTTCACTCCCTTCCCTTCTCTGTCTTTTCTACCTTGTCTGTGGGGGAGGGGAGATGGTTTTGTAGAAATATACAAAGACAACCCAAATGAGAGCAAAAAAAAAAAACTATTTATTCAAAGTTGCTATAGCAAGGGCGTCAGCCACCATTTCTTGCATTTGGCAGAGACTCCAAGGCCAGTAGGGATTGGGAAAGCTTTGCAGTGTAGAATGGAAAGGCTCCAGGTGTGCTCTGGCCTTCTTACTTCCTGCTTCATGGAGACAGTGGAGTCGGATCTATGGGGTTTCCCAGGAGGGTGGCTCAGAGCTGGA